TACATACGAGAATTATAAAAGAAAATATAAATACATATATGTATAACTTAAGGCCTAATAATTTAAACAAAGTAAATAGGAGTAGTCGTACTGGTATGAAATTAAGTACAATGAAATGAGAAAATTTTAAATCATAAAAGGACATGACAAAAAATAAAATGTGTTACATACAAGGTATTAAGGGGATCCCCGACCAAATCTATAAAGTGAGATAGGTAGTTATTTGCATTTCTTTACTAGGATGCTACCCAAAATGCTACCTACTAGTTGCACATGTAGTACCTATGGGATCGATCCACATAACTGCATGTATAATTAAATAAATACCTAATATAATACACGTGTTATAATCATATAGCAAATAATATACTTTATCCATAATCGCAATAATTTAGAGTATAGGGCTTAAAATAAAATAAAATCATAATATAAATTATTATTGCAATAGGTACATATTATACACGTAATAATAATAATTACGTTATAAAAAAAATGAATAGTTATAAAAGATTGTTTCGTATTATATAGAATCAATTAATCAAAGTTCAAAATTCAACATAATAAAAATAAAAAAAAAATAGGAAGGAGATGTTGAAATAAATTAGAGATACGAACGTAATCAGAGTAGAGTATAAATATTATATTTATACAATAAAGTACAGTGCATGGCGCACATTTCAGCCAACTAACAATTATTTAATACTCACAAATTAAACATGTTGTAATTATAGACACACTACCGCATGTACACAAAAACATCAATAATTAAATATGAAAAAAAAAAACATTTTCGCGCACATATTTCGCGTATATTTTATATGAATTTACAAGATTTTTTTCCTTAAAATAATAATTTAACCTTAAATTTTCAATTTTATGTTATGTTTTTTTTTGTTTATGTAAAAGTTTTACAATTTTAAACTAAAGTTGGTTTATATATTGCTTTTTAAAATCAAGTCGAAACAGTATCGATCCGCTATTACTTATATAAGTTTCATAATGTAATATTTTTTTCTTTTATAGACAATAAAACCAAATATTATGTTATTATATACCAAAAATACTATACAAACATATATTTTGCTATATAAACTTATATTTGTGTAATAACCTATGTTTTCATAAATCTATATTTCAAATGAGATAAACACATTTCTTAGGAGTCATGTAATCTTAAAAAGGTATTAATGCGTTTACGACTTTTAATGATAAATAACATTTATAATAATGAATACTTGGTAATGTATGTAAATTTATTATGACACAATGCAATGTAAAATATTTAATACGTAAATTAAAAGGTGTTTAATGCCAGAATTTTCAGATACATTTTAAGTGTATTCATAATAAAACATTTTGAAAGTTATGGTAAAATTTTGTAATAAAGAATATCTGATAAAGAAGTTAAATAAATACCTAATAGTTAACTAAATGTAAAAATAAAAAATAAATCAAGCTAAACTATTGAACCGAGTAAGCAAAACGTGTCCTTCTCATTGACACATTTCCTTATATCTCTATATCACATTTTTTTTTCCTATAGTAAATTTTATTTAAATGTAAGATTCAATTTGAAAAGAGTTAAAACTATTAAGTATTAATTATAAGTGTTAGCTTTTCTTTTCTTTTATAAAAGCAAGGACCTTAAATTTATGTAATAACCTACTTAAAAACAAAAATTGTTCTTTTGAATGTTTAAATTTTTAATGTTTTGTTGTGTAAAGTTGATATGTGTTACAGTGATTATTCAATTATTTTCTGTAAACGATATAGTAAATATCATACTCCCAGAAATTGTAATTAAAAAAAAAAATAACGCATTTTTTTTTGATGGATGTAAAATTAAAGTAACTATCTAAAATTATGTATAAATAAGAATCATAAAAATAAATCTATTATTTTACACGTATCCATATATGTATGTAATAATAACATCATACGATGTAATCGCAAACTTTCCCATAAACGTACTTTGGAATTGAAAACAAAAGTGTCACAAATCGCTTACGCAGCTGGGATCGCAATTTGTATTTTGATCTGTCTTTTGTTATGTGATTATGTTATTGTTATTGAAAATGATTACGTGGCTTAACATTGACTTCTTTGTTCTGTTCATCTTAATATGAAATGAAATAATTAAATTTTTGGTTAAATTGAATGACCTCAGTAAATTATAAGATTTATAATATATTGAAATTATTCTTTTAGGAAAGCATTTAAGGGATTTAAATAGTTTATTTATGATATATGATTAAATAGTGAGCCTCGATTCTTAAAAATATGTATATGTAAAGGAAATAATTCTTCTCTCAAATGACATATAATTTTATGACTAAGTTAAGTTACTCGTACGTAACTATTTTATTAACTGAAATGAGAATCATAGAAAGGACTATATACATTGGCCATGTTCTTAATGATGTATACGCGAGCTGTGTACGTGAAAGAAAAGACACAATTATTTGATGAATATTATTATTAATGATATTTAATGCCATGCAGTAAAATGAAAAATAAATAATAGTTACCGAAGAATAAAGTAAATATATAAAGTTAATAAAAAAGTGAATTAAATAAAAGTATCTTGAAATGTAAAACAAAATATAAGAAAATATTTTTTAAAGTTTATAAAAAAAAAAATGTAATCATTAATTTTTTTTTTTGGTCGGTGGGAGGTGTAGTGCCCTGTAGACTCCCCTTTACCTCCGACAATATACATTTATAAAATTAGTATTAAGTATAGAATAGAGAACAGTATAATTAAAGTTCTTGTACAAGCAACACGTCTCCTTCATTCAGCACCTTCCGAGTTCCGACATTACACTTACATCACTCTCGCAGCAAAAATCGAACAATCCTCGATTCTCAACTGGGCCTTAATACGTCCACTTGACTTCGTGGAATTTTGATTTGGTGGTTTAATACCCAATACTCATACTGTGTTCATGTTACATGGTTCCTCGATGAACCAAGCGTAAAAAAGTTTTTGTTTTATTATATTACTGTATGTGTGTGTTGTAAATTACAAATACATTTATGTGAATAACCTACCGGGCCGTGTAGTGACGGTGTAAGAATAACCATTACTCTGTATCATCTCATGGGTGTCGTAAGAGGCGACAGAGGGAAACAAATCAGGAGATGGGCAACAGCGTCTCCCTAATAACGAATAAAAATAAATAACTGCGGTTGCCAACCCGCTTGCCAAACAACTATGGCAAATATCGCCCCTATGAGTCAATATATAGGGGAGGCATATGTTCAGAAGTGGATTTCAATAAGCTGAAACGGTAATGGAACAACCTACCTTTGTTTCATTAATAAATTTAGTTGATTTTTAAAACTTCCATGAAGTGATATTATATGCACATTTTATGCAATAATAAAAGTAAAGTACTAAATAATAAAATGTAAATCTGACGAAATAAAGACATCCTACCAAAGAAGATTATATTATATTATTTAATGATATATTATTTAATTCAGTTAATATACAGCAAATATTTATACTGTGGCGTGTATTTATCGCACGGAGCACAGACTATTACCGCATAGTGTACCTATGGTCACTATGGTATTGGAGTGTCTGTTTGTAACGTCAAAATAACAGCTTTTCACTAAATGCATTTGAAAGTATATATGGTACTTATAGCAAAAACACAATTTTTAAAATTTTTGTCTGTCTGTACGTCTGTCTGTACGTCTGTCTGTACGTCTGTCTGTCTGCCTGTTTGTTGCGGTTAATCTCCGAAACGGCTGGACCGATTTTGATATGACTTTCACTGGTAGACAGCTGATGTTATAAGGAGTAACTTAGGCTACTATTGTTTTAGAAAAAGGGTTAGGGTTCCACGCAAAAAAGTTAAAAACCTAAATTACGCGCGGGCGAAGTCACGGGGAACAGCTAGTCGTGAATAAATAAGTCGTGGGTTGCGCTAAATGGCGTGAACTGCGAAAGCGTTATAATTGCCTACAGGTCTGGGATAACCCCCGCTTACATTAAAACCAAAATTGAGGCCGTAAATACAAAACGGCGGTAGTCGGGATTTTTATTTTTATTAAGTAACTTTTTATTACTTTCCCGAAGATCTTAATTTCGATTGATACAATGTTTGTGTTACGAACATTAAGCTGCTCCACATCAAAACCATTAAGTTATATTAAAAATGTTTTCATTCAAAATCATACCTAATAGTATCCTACAGAAAATACGCATACCATAAATCTTTAAAAATAACCAGAAATTTTAATATATGAAATCATTTATTATATGAAACACGAATAATTTTAACTTTTCAGGGAATACCTGTGTTAATGTTTCATCGCTCTCCTGTAAAACTAAATTACATTCCTCACTCAGTTTTGAAATGGGTCGGTCGTAAGTATACTAATTTCTGTGGACCTCATGTCTGATATTAAAGTTTGCTACTTTTTTTAATTTCAGTTTAACTAAATACTTTAAAGGATAATGTACATACTGTTTTATTTGTATTACAGCTATTACAGAACTTCACAAGCACAATGTTGATCAAAGGGGTCTCGCTGCGTGACTTAAAAACGAAGATAGCTCCAGTAGAACCAGAGTAACCGACATAGCCTAACGGATTAGTGAGCTCAAGTTCAAATGGGCCGGCCATATAGCTCGAAGAACCGACAATCGATGAGGAAAAAGGGTTCTTGAGAAGCGGCCTCGTAACGGCAGACGAAGTATAGGCCGTCCCCCCATTAGATGGAGTGACGACCTGGTAAGACATGCAGAAAGTCAATGGATGCAGGTGGCTCGGGGCATGTTTTGTGGCATTCCTTTGGAGAGACCTATATTCAGCAGTGGGCTTGTGAAGGGCTGTAATGATGATGATTATGATGATGGTGCCGCGATTGAGGCACTTATTTTGTGTGAAATACGGTTCTTACACCATAGTTTCAGTCAGAGACTATCAATAAACCACGTTTTATAATAAAACAATAAATAAACAATTGATATTGAAGACGTTACTCACTCTTGTGTTGTTTCTTTCGGCTTTGAGTTCGGAGATCTCCTCCTCTCTCTCCAACAGTTGCTCCCGCGCTTGGTTTAGCTCTTTCGTCAAAGTCGCGAACTCCTGTTGAGAAAACAAAATAAAATTTTAATAATAGAAGAATATAAAAAATAAATAAATAAGAAAAGCCTTAGAATACTTATAAGAAGAATAGTACACAATGTTTTGATAACATCCAAAGAACAAACGTGTTTCTATTGCCTGATCAGTATGACTGAACCGAACCTGATCGTAAGTGCCACTGCAGCCTATGGACTTATGGCGGGTTCCTATATTAAAAAAACCGGCCAAGTGCGGGTCGGACTAGCGCACCGAGGGTTCCGAACAAATCCACAAGTTTAAAATTATTAAAAATATTTTTATTATATGATGTAACTAAAAATTTATGCTTTTCGCAATTTTTCCTTTATCTGTGCTATAAAACGTTGCTTCGTACCAAATTTCAAGATTCTGAGTTCATGGGAAGTACCCTGTAAGTTTTGATTTCCTGGTGAATGTCGAAAATTTGCGACATAAACGGCTGTATCTTTTGATTGCGTTGGCTTACAGGTTTGATTTTTTCACAGCTCCAAGGGACAGTAGACTAGAATTTCAGCTTGATTCCTCCACGCGTTCCTGAGAAAACGGGTCTTGACAGACAGACAGACAGACAGACAGACAGACGGACAACAAAGTGATCCTATAAGGGTTCCGTTTTTTCCTTTTGAGGTACGGAACCTTAAAAATGCTTCATTTTCTTATAGAGCCGTTTTGCAGTAAATGAAGTGCATGAAAACCCGTTTTTAAAAACAGATTACCAGTTCAAATATTTATAAATTGTTTAAAGTTTTTTTTAAGTCACGCCAAATTGCTGAATAAATAGTTTGTAATACAAGCTGTTTTACATGCACCTCGTATGTAAAAAAACGACTCGTTACGGAGAATGAAATGTTTCTTGAATATAGGAATCGGACAAGAGCTTTGTTGTTATGACTATGACGTAAGTAACGTAATCATAACTTTTAACAAAAGTAAAAACCGAATTCAAATTGCTAAAAAAGAAGTGCTACATTAAATATATCTTTAATGCATGGGAGAATTCACAGGATGCTTTGGGTATATTTTGTGACATATCCAAGGCCTTCGATTGTGTTCACCATGAAACATTAATCAGGAAACTTCAAACTATGGTCTAAGAAGTGATCCTCTTAAATTACTTATTTCATATTTAAGTAAGAGAACGTAAAAAGTTGTCATTAACAGTATAAGTTCTTCCGGGTCGATGAGACAAATGGGCGTGCCTCAAGGCTCAATTCTCGGCCCCTTTCTGTTTCTTGTATATATTAATGACTTACCTTACATAGTAGGGGATAACCATGATATAGTATTATTTACAGATGACACTTCTTTAATTTTCAAATTAAGTCGACAATTACTAAAATATGAGGAAGTAAATAATGCCATATCTAAATTGGTAAATTGGTTCAATGTTAATAATTTGCATTTAAATGGCACTAAAACGAAATGTATGAAATTCATGACTCCAAATGTCAAACAACTAATACTAATGTAATTTTAAATGGGGAGAAAATGAGTCTTGTAGATACTACCATTTTTCTTGGAATCACACTAGACGCGAAGCTTCAATGGAGCCCCCATATATCAAAGCTAGCAAGCAGACTTAGTTTTGCAGCATATGCTGTAAAAAAAGATTAGATGTCTAACGTAGGTCTAATACGTCTAATACGTGGTAGAGCCATGCTGCAGTTATATCTACACATAAAATTGAAATGTCTATTTGTAATGTCAAAATAACAGCTTTTTACTAAATGCATATGAAGGTATATACGGAACTTATAACAAAAACACAACTTTTAACATTTTTGTCTGTGTGTCGGTCTGTCTGTCTGTTCCGGCTAATCTCCGAAACGGCTGGACTGATTTCAATGGGACTCTCACTGGCAGGTAGGTGATGTTATAAGGAGTAACTTAGGCTGCTTATATTTTAGAAAAATAATTAGGGTGAACAGCTAGTTAGTAATATAATTGTAGCACGAATGGGTCGGCTCGACCGGGGAAGGACCACGCTCTCACAGAATACTAGCGTAAAATGGCAACTTGACACTGCTGTGTTTCGTATGGTGAGTGTAGAGAATCGGAGCCTTTTTACTGGAAAAGAGGCATTCCAACTTAGTCCTCACGGGTGACAACGCATCTGCATTTTGATTCTTTGTTGAGGATAGATGTAGATGTCCATGGGTCACAGCAACCGCTTAACATCAGGTGAACTGTGTTCTCGTTTGTAACCCTATACTATAAAAAAAAAACAGTGTTGAAACAGCTAGACTAGTTTACTTTAGCTATTTCCATAGCATAATGTCGTATGGTATTTTACTATGGGGCACGTAGCTGACACTGAAATTATATTTGTTTTACAGAAGAGGGCCATAAGAGCAATTTATGATTCAAAGCCTAAAAAGTCGCTGTCGACTGTCGACAAAAATTTAAGAAAATTAATATATAAACTTTGACCTCTCAATACATTTATGAAAATGTAATATACGTACACAAAAATAAAAGTAGTTTTACAAAAATAAGTGATATTCATTCTGTAAATACTAGGAACAGACACAAGCTAGTAGTACCAGTTACTCGACTCCATCGAGTCAGTAATTCATTCTTGGGGCAATATATACGCTTTTACAACAAAATTCCAGAAAATATACAAAATTTGACTTGCTCAAAGTTCAAAAACTTTATTAAATTAAGTTTGATAAAAAGGATTATTATAATATTAAAGAATTAATGGATGATAATAATCCCTGGAAATGAGGTGATCGCTACCAAGCTATTTCTAATTTGTTGTGTTGTTAATTTGTGTAACATACATAATTGTAAGCTGTTATTTAAAAAAAAAAAGTCCCGATGGGTTTCTTGCTGGTTCTTCCCAGGACAGAGGTTTTTTTTCGAACCAGTGGTAATTAAACAAAAGAGTGACTTTCAATAACTATTATTTATAATCTATATTGAATAAAAAAGTTTCTGTTTCTGTTTCTGTTTCAAACAGCGTTGAGTTTCTTTTTAAATGTTAAAACAATTCACGTGTAACTTCCCCCCCCCCCCCCCATATTAGAAATGACTAAACAACAAGTAGTCCCACAGTAAAGTATCAATATGCATTGAAATTGTGGGACTAGGCGATGTCTCCGCAGCAACAGTATCGGCTGTTCACACGCAAGTGTTTTCAGTTTGATGGTTTTCAACCCTTCTTATATAATTTAAAATACACTCATATTAAAATAAAATGTAAACAAGAATTTATAGTGCGCTAAACAATTATTATTATAACTTCCGGTAATTTAAAGATTACAAACTTTACAATGGACGGTCTGTGGCATAGAACTCAATTTTACGTACACACTTATTAGAAGTGAATGTATTAGAATCATACCATATTATCATTTGTACACCTTATTAGAAACAGTTGAAAATAAAACGTATTCAAAAAAGGAAATTACATAAGAAAGGCAAGGGAAAATAAAAAAGGTAAGAAAATTCATACCTATCTTTAAACACCGAACAAAAAACAACTCTATTACAAGTAAAGGACATTTATTTTTCAGACGAATCTTACCTAGTTAATTTTTACATGTTTAGTGTTAATATCAAAAGTCGAAACCAAAGCAGATGCCTCCAGCGCGTAAGTAAGGTAAATCTTTCGAGCTATTTCATGCAAGTAGACGCATTTACTGGGTACCAGTACTGGGAGTTCGTCCGGATAAGTTCCACCTTCTTACGTATTACTACGGCCATGCAGTTGTACACACATTGTTGTGTTCCGATTTGGAGACACAACATAAATATAGGCTGTGAGGTATACTAATTTCCATCTGAGTCCGAGGTGACAACACATCGATACCGTCTCTTACTTGAAGTTGGTGGCAGGTGTTTACGAGCAACAGTAATCACTTGCTATCAAGTTGACTGTAAGCTCGTATGTCACGTCAATTTTCATAAAGCCATTGGGTTCTAGAAAGTTCTTATAAAAAAATCGGCGTGTGGCTGTGTCGTGGCAACGAAACCGTATGTTTTACGTGAATACGAGTACGTAAAGATATGACCGCAAAATGGAGACGCTCCCTCCTCCACTGCGCCCGACTATACACAATCTTCATTCAACGAAACGAAATCTTTGGTCCTTTAGCTATAGAGTGGTGTAATTAAATTTTGGATGTATATGATAGATATGTACCTAAAACACCAAACTTTATCCCCCGATTTTGTTATCATCAGTTTTCTGAATTGCCTCCCACAAAAAAAGATTTATAAATTTGATAAGCTCATTTGATAAGAAAATTATTGAATGAAAACCCTGTTCGTTTTTCCTCAAAGTTATCGGATGTCTCCAAGTATAAAAGGAACATGCTGACAGAAAAACGTCGTGAGCCGCTTTTGTCATCAGTTCTTAGTGCGGCTATACTCTCATGCGAAAAGGTCGTTTGCAGCCAATGTTACTATTTTCAATTCCTCATTTATTATTGATTCCGTAACACATGAAGACCTGGCACACATTCTTAAACTGTTTTGGTAAATCTATATCTATACTACTATTATAAAGAGGAAAGATTTGTTTGTTTTAATTGAATAGGCTCCAAAACTACTGGACCGATTTGAAAAATTCTTTCACCATTAGAATCCTACATTATCCCTGATAAACATGGGCTATATATAATATTTTCAAAAAGTTAGGAATCCGTATGAAAACTTCGTTAATGTAACCCAAGGTGTGAAAAAAATACCAAAAAGTATCCTTATATCGCGTACGTTGCGGAAACTATTGATAATAGAACAAAGTAATGTACTTCAGTTTAATAGAAGATATCAATATCTACAAAAAAGTATGCGATACCATATGTTTAACTATTACAGTTATGTCACAATAACTACTTTTTCATGTTAAAATGTGAAATAGTAACGCCGGTACAAACTAGGCCACATTATTCGTATCAGTACCTGTATCATGCATAACCACCAATTACGTTAACCATGTAATTTCAGTAGACATATTTCACTTTTTAAATCTT